ATCAAAAGAATTCTATTAAAATCATGTTTGCTAAAAACGTGATTTTCTTTCACAAAACACATAAATCCCCTTCATTTACAGACAATCGATTGGTTGGGAAAGGGAGGGCTATTTATAAGGTTCTTTCAGATTTCAATCAATTCCATAGATAGATTGTTTTAGGATTCATCTCTTTTTTGGCATAGATGGTTTTGGGTTCAATCTCTTTTGTGGCTATTATATTGTTATTTTCTTCATGTGGCGTAGAGCATATCTAATGCTTTTTGTGGAAAGACTCTTGGATATTGAAATTTTATCATGTTTACACAATTTGAATACCCCGAAACTTAACAACAACAAAATCATCTTAATAGCCCGATTTCCCAAGAACTACTTTTCTCAGCTACTATTCATTAGTCCCTTAACAACCCCTTAATACCTTGTCTTTGGATTCATCTCTTTTTGCGTGTAGATGGCTTTGGAATCAATCTCTTTTGAGTCCAATACATTGTCTGTGGCATAGAGCATATCTAATGCTTTTTTGTGGACGGACTCTTGATATTGAAAATTTAAAGGCAATTTGTATAGCCCAAAACTTCACAACAACAAAATAATCCTAATAGCCCAATTTCCAAAGAACTACTGTTCTCATCTACTATTCATTAGTCCCTTAACAACACCTTAATGCCTTCTCCCACAACATCCTCAAGACCCGAAATCTACATATATACAGACCCTTCCAATCTAATATGTTTCCCCACTTTTCAACTACAAAATCCAGCATTTACTAGATATCCCAGCCATCTACTATAGACAAGTATTTTGACACATACTTGTCCAAAATAGTACCCACAAATTGTATTTGCCCTGATGGATCAAGAAACAACTCTATGCAAACATCCATCACATTAACATTCTCTTATTCACGATAATAATTCTGAAATCATCATTGTTTGTATAATAGGTAATTCGGATAATCCAAAGTACAATTAACACTTTGATCATCACTCAATCAAAGAACTAAAATATTTACAAACTATCTCATAATTAAAGCAAGTAAAAGTAAATATCATCTAAGAGTATCAACAAAATTTACTGCACGAAAACATTAAGATTGAAGTTTAATTAATTACCATCAGGAAGAGAGATAGGAAAATCAGTCCAAATCGCAGGCCTTGATGAAATTTTTCTAACAAAATCCACAACTTCCTCGGTGACTCCCACTGCACCATCCTCCTCTAAATCATCATCATCATTATTACTATCCTTCGTTTCTCTCGGAAACTGCAACAAATTGGAAGTGAATTTCGAGGAGAGTAAAGAGAGTCCCGATTTCAAGGTACCCTGAATTTCCGCCAAGTCATTCTTTATTCCGGAAATCATATCCGAGTTGGGCGGCAGTGGCGCAAGAGGTATTTCCTCCAAGTCATTCTTGACTACCGAAATCATGTCCGAGTCGGGGGCCGGCGGAGGCGCAAGAAAGGCAGCGACGCCGCGGAAGAGGGTGGAAAGGTCTTCCTTAACGCCGGCGGAGGGAGTTGTGGGGGAAGAGGGTTGGGGTAAAGGATTATCATTGAAAATTGAAGGAAACCAAGATGACATTTTTTTTTATTTTTTGAAGCTCTCAAACTTGTCTCTCTCTACTGCGTGGCCTTCTCTCTCTGCCCGCAAATATATATACACATACGTAAAGAGGTCCTCAACTAGGATCAACTCCGTATAGAAGTAGGTGTCTCAATTAACACTTGGATTTTATTTAGGGAAAATTACCTAGTATCTTACCTTTAAAATTTTAAGTTCAAAAATTAGGTATTTATAATTTTTTTTAATAAAAAATCAGGTATTGATAATACTTTTTAAAAATTCAGATGTATTTAATAGACCTCATTCCCCTCACCTTAACCCACCCCCTACCAATCTCGACAACCTAAATCGTCTCCCAACTCTCTATAAGATTTCATTATTTGCCAATGTAACACATGTCGGCGAGCCTTTAGACTTGGAGTCCGTGCCACTGTCCTCAATTCATCTATACCGTAGATGATGGCCGACTCATTTCCTAATTCCATGGCAATAGCCTCGATTTTGTATGTGCAAACCCTTGGGCACGTATATCAAGGTCTCCAATTCGTCCATTTCATATTCAATTTAGATAATGAGACCAATGTCATTGATCTCAGAATGTCTAAAAAACTCTAGGGTGGTATTGTCAGCACCTAATTTGGTTGAAGGATGGTGATGGATGTCTGATTGTATCAGTGGTGCGGTGGATGTACGAATAGGGGTGCTAGTGGGATGATGTTGTGTCTTTGGTGGTGTGAATTTGCGGGGGTGGTGGAGGTGTGGTGTAAAGATTTGCGGTTGATGGTGGGATGGTGTGCAAGTGGTAGTGGTTGTGGCTCGTTGGAAGTAGAGGGTAGTGGTAGTGTGTTATGCATCTAAGGCGGCGACAACATTTTAGGTGATGCCAACGGTGTTGAATGTGGTGGTGTGGGAAAGCTTAAGGGTAATTTGTGACCATTCCATTGATTGGATAATTTGTGATCGAGAAATAAATTATGATTAATTAATTTGATCATTATGATCAATAAATAAGTTGTGACTATAAAAATGTGTAATTTATGACTAAATTAGCAATTGTAAACCGCATTTTATATATTTGTGATTATGACGGTATTATTTGTGATTTGTACGTAATTGTGGCCGTAAATTATATATTATTGTGACTTTAACATATTTTATTACCTATTTAATTAGTACATCCTGATTTTTTAAAGAATTTCACAAGTCTGTCAAGTTTGAAAGGTAGTTGTGTATTTTTTTTCCCTTTTATTTAATTTTCATTTTAATATATTTTAGTGAATTTTGAATTTATAAATATAATTCTTAAACCTTTTTAAGATTTTCAATTGATTTCGATCCCACGAATATAAAAGTCAAATTATTATAAAATTGACAGAAATAAATTAAGCAAGACATAAATAATATAAAAATAAATAGTAATAAAATATTTTATCGTCAATTCTCGTTCCGAAATTTTAGGTGGGAGAAATTGAGTTCTAGTTTCTATTGAAATTCGGAATACAATTTTTATTCTGAGCAGCTAAGAAAGAAAATAAACAACGAGATTATGAATTTTATTTTTTAATTACAAAATCCGAATTTTTCTTTTGTTTGGTCGATCTATTAAAATTCATGAAAATCACAAAAAAATAAGAAATTTATTAAACTCAAGGACACTATCCTTAATTCATGACGTCATTTTGTAATTTTCTCTAATTCTATCGTTAAATTTTAAAATGGTATAAATATATTATTTGATGTAAAATTTCTTACGATAAGAAATTGGATAATTATATTCATACTACAAATTTTGTTTGTTGCACCATATTTTTATTTCAATAAAAGTTTTCAACACGTACTTAGCTTACATCCTCGACTTATCTACGTAAAAAATTTGATATTCAGGCTTCCATTAATTAGTATATTTTATCCTTAATAATGATTTATGTACAAAAAAATCGTTATGAGACACAAAAAGACACGCAAAGAAAATATTTTTAAATAAGAAAAAAATAAATACAAAAGTTTGACAGAGCATTTTTCTTTCATTTCAAAGCATGCGAACAAAATATTTGAATAGAAACATAATCAGGACAATATGTGCTAAATAATCGAGGGGTAAGGATAAAAATGCATAACTATGCTATTAGTACAGGGAAATTTCACAGAATACACACAAAAATTTGAATTGGATGGACTAGATTCAAACATGGAAGAGGGAAAACACAGATACACGCACATGATTTTTCCAATTCAAAATTTTGTACAAAATCTGACAACATTTCCTGTACTTAAGGAACTATTCAAAAATGCAACAAGAAAAAAAAAGTCCAACTCGTTGGACCATCTTTCAACTATGCACATCTCGAGGATGCAATTGGGTGGTCCCACTGCAAAGGAATGTTCTTCAACTGATTGTTCATAGGCTGTTGATAATATGGTACTTAGTGAGCCCCACCCGGTTCACTGGACGGTTGGCCTTCCAAGTACTTGCTCGCTGCTCCCGAGGTGGATATTTTACTCTAGAAAAGAGAGGAAGAAGGATGACCGCATCTTGCTCTCAGTTGAGAGGCTTGAAGGATCAGCCATATCTTGCTTGTAAGGGAGATGCTTGATTGTAATGGAAGAATGGGAAGCGGTCGAGGGTGCTAAAAGAGATGAAGGATCGGCCATATCTTGCACGTAAGGGAGATACTTGATTGGTAATGAAAAGACAGATATTGTCGAGAACGCTACAAGAGAGGAAGGATCGGCCATATCTTAACTCAAAGTGGAGATGCTTGGCTGGTAATGGAAGGATGGGAGTTGCTCAAGGATGCTGCAAGAGAAGGATCGGCCATATCTTGCTTGTAGGTAGATGATTCATTTGGAAGGACAGAAGGCGGTCAAGGATACTACAAGAGAGGAATAAGGATATGACCATATCGACCTCCTCCCCGTTCTATTATTTTTTTCCCGAGGTGGGGAGGAGGTCGAGTATGCTAGAAGAAAGGAAGAAGGATTGGTCGAGTATACTAAGAGTTCTAGTCTACATCAGTAAGTAAATTGCGACAGATTTAAGAGAAGAATCCAATTGACAGCAAAAAAAATCTCAATAAAGTATCAGCAAAATAAGAATCGAAATACATATTTTTTATATACTACAATCAGAAACAAAATACAAGGGTTTACAGAACAAAACGAGGGTAAAAAATGGAGTCAACAAGTTATACATCCCAGCTTGAGCAAAAGCAGTTCGAAAATTTTAAAGCAAGCCCCAAAAGCATTATTTCCAACAGTCTGATGTGAATAATCAACAATCAACAAAAGTTTCTACTTAATGAACAACTAATTCTGCCTATTTCACTTCCCAATATATGATACAAATCATCTATCTTCAATGTAAAATCCAAAAGTAACCGGAGCTCCTTTTTTCCTCCTTGTATTTCCAGCAAAAGTATATATTTTCCGGGCATTCCTCATAAAAGGCCATTATAAGGATTGTAGGCTTGAATAGGCATACCTGAGCTGTGGGGATGGCCACTGGCTCGATACTGGTTTCCAAATGGGTTCCCGAGTTGTTGTGGGCCCATCATCATGATCTGCTGTTGCTGCTGGAACATGAATGCGGGGTTTTGGTGGGCCATGGCTGCCATCTGAACAGAAGGTGGTGCGGCCACTGTGTTGGAGGCGTAGAAAGGGTCGTGTGCTGTTTGTGACATCATTGGATTGGATATTGGAAATTGTTCCCAGGGATTGTAGCTTACATTCTGGTTACTTCTTCTGATTGCATCATCGTATAGGCTGTCTAGTGTAAGTAGGTCTAGCCCTCCCGCCTTTATCAATATAAAAAGCATCATTGTATAGCACATTTCATTACGAGCATCTTCTAAGTTGATAAAATGTTGAATGCATGAAAATGCGTTACAAAAATGTAAAGATGTGGCGTTTACATACAGAGAAGAAATCAGAGCAGTGGTTTTCAGAAATTAAACAGTTTTGACAGTAAAACAACTAAACAAAATCCAAGAAGATAGCAAGAAGTACCAATTTGCTAGCAACTGTGGCACTCTCGTTCGAGCTTGGAGCTGTAACAAGTGCTAATTCCCAGCCCGTAGCTCCATTTGACAGATTAGGTCCAGCGGAACCTGGTTGGTCGGCTACGACAAATATGGAAACAAGATTAGCATATTTCACTCATTAAAACTTCAAGGGGAATAAAGTCAATATAACATTATAAGAAGTTGCAGCATGCTTGGATAAGCTTAAAATAAAGTAAAAGTTACTTTTGTTTCCAAACATGTATTGATATGCTACTCATCCCCAGTGGGGTTACAAACAGTCTACGTGGCTCTAAATGATAGGTTAAATGAAAAGTGAAATTAAATGATTTATTTAATTTCACGTATCATTTAATGTCACATTAACGTCACCTAAACTGTGTTTGTAACCACAGTGGGGATGAATAGCATTACTCATTTTTAATGGAAAAAGAGTTACTCATTTTAAAACCATCTCTTACTTATTTCCAGTTTTGATCAGTAAAAATCATGTATGAAACTTGTTAACTTGTAAGTAGTAAACTTAATTATAAAAAAAAATGTGAACGTCAGTCTACGTAAACCAAAACTTATAATTCGTGCTCAGCAAGTTAGCAACGTTCCAATGTTTATGTTCCAATGTAATTGTACAGTTATATTTTCTACGTAACTTACCAGCTGGCACAATGGCTAAAGCCATAGCATTCTTCTCATCTAACTCCGAGGCAGCTGGAACAGGATCCTCCAGACCCTTTACAGCAAAGAAATTGATCATCAATAAAAGGTTGACAAAATTGTTCTCTTAAAAGAAACAAAAACTTCCATTCTAGTTAATTACCAATAAATCAGGAGGTTCAAAAACGGGAGCTTCTACTTTAACTGGTTCGGGTTCTGGTTCAGGCTCAGGTCGAGGTGGCGATGTTGTACGTTCTTCTTTCATCACTGAATTCTTTTTATTATACTCTATGGGTAAGATCACCTTGGCCTTATCATCAGCCTGGATCCAATAAATTTAAGGTTTACCATACTAGTCTGGGTAGACGGGATTTTAAAAGCACTCCCAAGCTAAGCATAAAATAGGGAGTTTGAATGAACACATGTCCCTCTGTCCATAAGAGAGGCACATACCAAATCCTTGCGAGCTGTGGAAGATCGTGGTGCTTCCCTCACATAGTCCTCCATAGCTTGTAAAAATGATGCAGGAGGCTACATCATGAGTCAACAAAGCAAACAATATTACGTTTTCAGGGTCCAAAGATATTAAGACAATATTTGAACCATCATCAAAAGAAATCTATGAATTTGAACCTGTTCAATCTTTATAAATCTTTCTCCGCGTCCAACGTCGAGGTTTTTACATACTTCGTAAAACTCTGACATTCTCTCAGCCTAGAAAAATGGTAAATCATAAGATTTTACGGTTAGGAAAACTTTTTTCTCAACGATTTCTTGAAGTAGTTGAAAGGGAATAAATACCCTCTCAAAGGAATGGGATCATTTGCAATGTGCCATGTTTAAGAGAGGCAGTGACTTGTTAGCATTTTCAACTTTTTCCATCTAATCAAAATTAAATATTTTAAACTCCCCCATTATTCAGTCACGGTATCTGCCAGCAGTATTCACCACTAGCTGAGGGGTATTTTGGTAGAACGGTTAAAAAAATATTATGTTCCGATGGGTGGTCATTTTTATGGTACACTTCAAAAATGGAAAGAATCTGTTTTCTGCTGCTTGTACCTGCTGCCCAGCTCTCCGGTATATATCCAAAGCCTTAAGTGCATCATAACGTTGCATCTCAAAAAACTGTCGAATGAAGATGCATAAGTCGAATGTTTAACAAAAGAGATTTTTACAGTTTCTAGAAGTCAAAAATACCTTGTCAACCAAATTAACTGTACCATCACTTATAGCATTGTAAATTTTAACGCTTTCCGAAGCAACCTACAGGAATACAAGAGAGAATCAGGAAAAAAAAAACCCACAAGGCAATGCCATATGCAATTAACTTCTTAAGGCAAAGCATAAAAATCAGGACTTAATCTTACCATGGAAAGGGCCAACTGAATGACAAAATTGTGAACTGCTGCCCCTTGTGGCTGCATTATCATAATAATAGCTAAATATAAATGATAAAAGAGTATATTCAATGTATAGAACAAGGTTAAAGAACATGAAAACTGTTCCTCCAATCATTGAACTCATAAAACATGAAATTACCTGACAGCCAATGACACGGAACAGAAGTTGCTGCAAAGATGGTAAATGCTCAAGCAACTCCGGAGTGTCCAAATCTTTCGTTCTCTGAATCAGCATTTTGTTTAGAGGATAGTCGAGAAAGACAAAAGCAAAACTGCACTATGTAATCAACTTCTTCGAACAATATCCAAAAGAGAACTTTCTTATGTCATCTACACGAGGTCAGGAAGTGAATACTCCAGTTTAAGGCAAGTTTCATTTGACATTGATCAAGATCTTCAACTTCGTGCAAACCAAGATAAAATTTGAAATTTTGAACTCAATATGTGATATAAACAAACAAAGGTCTAACAAATCCCAACAGGGAAAAGTTTGCAAAAAAGAACAAGGGAAAGAACGTTGTGCCAATTTCTTTCGGATGTTGTAGAAATGAATTTAAAATTTGTAAGCAACTCAAAATCTCAAATAGATAGTGTTAATGTCGGTGACTCAATACTAAACTTAAATAAAAATAAAAAAATTCTTACCGGATGATCCGTCTCGACATCAAATTTCAGCACCCGGAAACATTCCAGTCTCTCCTCCAAAAATAATGCATAGGATCGTACCCAGGCAGAATAATCCCATGCTGTCCAAGAGATGCATTTTAGTAACTGAATAATTTGCTTTCTAAAGACTCCAATAAACCAATAAAAGAGAATAAAAACTATACCATTTGGACTGGAGTCATCCTTAAAATGAGCCATGTTAAGGAGATGACTTCGACTCCTACCATAATTTATAATTTCTTCTTGAAATGTGGGGTCCACCTCTCTCAATGCACGATGGATAACAATCAAAGTTTTCAAGGCAACCTAAAATGTAGGGATGAGGTTACAGACAAAGATAGGAAACAGTTAAGCATCAACTATGATGACTAGACAATTAGGATTGGAACTAATGTCCGAGAACTAAGATATTCAAGGTTGAAATGGCAATGCATACATATCATCTACGAGCTGGTTGACAATTATTCCCTCTCAATTAGGAATGGATCCAGGACTGGACTACAAGCCGGGAAAATATGTAAAAAAATTAAAATTTACGCATTATTATTATTATTTTTTTTTTTTACATAAAACAATTGTTTTACACTAAAAAAATGAAATGGGCTGGGGACTGGACTACATCCATCAGTGCTCTCAATAATTGAAGCCGAGTATCTTCATATATGTATATACTCAAGCATACATATTTAAGCCATAGCATATGCAGAATCTTAGTGTGAGGCAGGGGTGGAAGTTAGCACAGGCTTGCCCCTAGTCCATTTAGCTTTGTTAGGGAAAAAATAGTGGATTTTTTCTATGTATCAGCCCATTATATATAAAAAAAAATGTGCCTCCTTAGCTCCGCCCCTGTTGTGAGGAACAAGGCCAAATTCATGCTAGAGCATTCTATCAACAAATAAAACCTCCATGGCCACTTTCCTTCACCAACAGCCACAATAAAGTTCCGATTGAATCATGAGATTAATAAGAAAAGAGAAAGCCAGGAAAAAGGAAAATTATAGGGAATTTGGTTTTCAAGGAAAAATATATGTACTTGTGAATATTATGTGGTAGAGAGAGACGGATTCACATGCTGTTGGGGATTGGAAGGAGAAAAAGAGGCCGAGAGGCTTGAATTTGCACCACAACTAAATGTGCGTCAAACTTGTCATCACCATAACCAACATTTGAAATCAATTTACACACTATTTTCAATCATTTCACTAAAATCATAAATAGAAACAGTTAGTAAAAGGTCAGCAGGACCTGTTAACAAGACACAATTATTGTTCATAATCTGACTCATGTATGATTCAACAGCTAAAGCTCCATTTTGACAGAATTGGAAGGTTAACCAAGGATTTTTTATACCACCAAGGATCATTAATTTGGGGTAAGATTGAAGTTCTTGAAATGCTCATCACTCACCAAATAAAGAGTTGGCGAATTGATCGATCAAAGACAACATTAACTGTCATTTCGGCGGGGGGGGGGTGGAAACCACATTTTTAGCATAAGAATTTATTTTGACGTTAAACCGAATGAGAAGGATGAGACTCAAACCTGAAAGCTAGGACAGCTTCCAGGCCTTAGTATTTACTGATATGCATCGAAACTTACAAAATCATTGTAACACATTCTCTGTAAACTGGATTCAGACACATCCATTAACAAATCACATGTATTATCACGTAGGAGGCACAAACATATTTTTCCTTCCCATTTCTTTATTTTCAGTCACTAGAATTTTCCATAACATCCTTATTTCATAATATGTAATTACAATCTCTAGCACATACCGCCCAATTATGAGTCTTTGACAATCGTCTAGCAAGGGCATGTATGCAGTATGCTACATCAGCTCGAGGCCTGGTAGCCGATATAGCAGCAAAGATGGCTGAAAATAAGAATGCAGAAAACATAATCAGGCTCCTATTTTGGTGTTTAGTCCAGTTTTAAGAAAATAAGCAAAAGATAGCTATTAGGATAGAAATTAGACTGGCCTCATACACTTGATGTGTGCCTACCTCTTATGTGTCTCTCCTTTGCAGGGCGCTCAACATGATTTGTTGCCTTAACAATGGCAATGTCTAATTCCTGTGAAAAGAATAATGTAATTAAAATCCGATACCAGTAACTAATTTAAAATTTAAATTTTGATAAGAACAAAGATTTGGTGATACCTTGTAGTCACTATTTATTTTTGCCAAATTGACAGTGGTGGTATCTTTAAGAGCTCCAAGAGTTTTTCTTAAACTGCTCTGTGTTCCCCCTCCTGACATTCTCTCGCCTATTTACAAATTCTACAAGAAGTATCCAATAGATCTGTTATTAACAATTCCCTCCTAATTAAATAAATCTCAATTTTCATAAGTTGACACTTAAGATCTGGTAAAAAGTTAAGTCGAGTTGGGATATAATAATTCATGAAAGATAATTTTTATCCTGCAATTCAATCTAATATAAACAAATCTCAAGGATCTCAGTTTACCATAAAGAAAAAAGTACCAAGGAAAAAAAAATTAACACAAGGGAATTCATAAGCCAGTGCAAACCTCATATAAATTCAAACAACTAAAAAATCCCAAAAATCACAAAGAAAAAACTTCAAATAATTATTAAGTTGAGATAAATTACTTTTAAACACTCTTATAGCAATACAGAAAATCTGTTCTTCATTGCATTTTAGTATCCTATCGGAGTAGGATTACATATTCAACATCAAAACCTATTGTTATCAGAATCAAGAATCTGATCGTAAGTCTCATGTCTAAGTACAGAAGAAACCACGAACTAAATCAGAACAGAAAAACAAACAAGTAATAATATAAAATCACTACATTAACATAAACCCAAAAAAAAAATAACAATAATTCAAACCACCCACTAAAAGCTAATCTAGATGAACCCAAAAAGATCCAATCTTTCATACTGTTATTGCCATAAACGCACCTTCTGTAGCTAAATCTTCAATACCCAAAAACTAAAAACCCAACAAATGCTCAAATACACTGTAAGAAAAAGAGGGATCACAACAGATAAAACTCTGACCTGAAGCTGATAAATGAGGATAGAGAGAGAAAGATAAAGAATATCTGTAGGTGGTGAACGTCTCTCTGTTTGTGGCCTGAAGAGGAGAAAAGTATCCAAAAGTCAAAACTTTGAATCATTTTTGGTTGGCAATCGGCGATTCAGCGTCATTATTTTACTTTTCTATATTCCTATAATTCGTGGAGAATAGAATAAAGGGACATTAAGCCAGTAAAAACTGTACAACTTTTCATGATGAGAAATAAATTACACCAAATTGACTTGTATTATACATCTGTATTTCTTGCATTATCTTTTACTTTTTATGATCAACTAAGGTATTTCATTATGTAGTTGGTATGATTTTCATTAATAGTAACCTATAATTATCTTAATATAGGCCCCTTTCTCGATTTGAATAAAAATTGATAGAATACGTGATTAAAAAGTTATAGATTTGAAAATGAGTTTGGAGAAAAATAAAATTGTAAAAGAGATTAAATATTATCTTAAAAATTATATAAGAAATTTAATACTAGTTAAAAAATAATTCAATATTAGTGACAAAATATATATTTCATAAACTTAATTATAGACAAAAATTTCGTCAATAAGTAAAGTATCAAAGATATAAATTGTGAGTAATGAAATAATAGTTTAAAAAGAACTTGATCGATATTAACATTATAAATGAAAACTAAAAATATTATCTACAATAATGCTGTCAACATCATTGGCGAATATACGATTTTTTCGTCGATGATAATTTATTGTATTTAAGGTTTATTATAATTGTTTAAAATGTCCTCTCTAATATATTTTTTTTCTAAGACCCTTAAATAAATTAATCGGCCTACATCAGCAAAAGCAGTAGGTTGCTTAGACAACATAAATATATGGACTTCATTGGCTTCAAATTACATTACAACCTTGGCTACCGTTTGTCACCCTTTAAAATAATTTTTTTTAAATGTTCATACTCATTTTCAACCACACGTTTCTATAATAAAATATTTTTTTATAAATCTTTTTTTTTTTACTTTTTGACGGCACATTCTTTAATAAAAATCACTATTCAGAAATAATTTTTTTAAATAATGGCCATCAAATATGAGCTTTATTTTATTTAATTTAGTTAAAAAATTAATAAAAATCAACAATTAACAATTAATTTTAATCTCATATTTAATGAAACTCACAATTTTTATTAAATTTTCAAATGCAGCTCATGAATTTATCAAAAATTATTTTTAATTATTGCAAATAATAATTAATTTAAGTTAGACTTTAAATCCTTGTTTGTCTGCCATTATTTTAGAACTCTTTTTTTTTAAAAAAAACTCATCACATTTTTACAATAAAATATTTTACAAATAAACTTAAATTTTTTCCTTACTTTTTAATCACACATTTTTTCATATTTTAAAACTCATTTTATTCATTTAACATTGGCAGATAAAAGGGTGTAAAATGTAAATATGTTTCTGGAAGGTCGTGTCAGAATACGGACAGTTTACCAATGGCAATGAAACGGAATTTAAAAAATCACGAGCCGTCAGATTTGACGGTGACTAGATTGATCAAATTGGCGTTGACCAACTTTGATTGGTGGGTTTATTTATAGTTATCATGTGTTGGGTTTTACTGTTTGTACGTCAGGTGATATAAACACGAATAATGCTACTTTACCCGAAAAATGTGACATAATGGTTGACAAAATAAATGGTGACAAGATGTGACTGATTGAAAAAGTTAACTGTGTTTTAAACAGTCCAATGATAAATTGACATGTGGTATTATGTAGTAGATTGATGGAGAATTTGTGGTTGAAAAAGAAGGAAAAGTTCTTGATGTGATGGAAAATATTATTTTATTGAAGAATGTGTGGTTGAAAATGAGTAGAAAAATGAGAATAAAAATTTTAACGTGCACCAAACAGAGGCTAAATGAGTCGTGTGGCTTTATATTTAAATGAATCTATCATTTAATGTCATGTAATTGTCACATAAATTTGGGCTCAACCCCAATGGGAATGAATATTATTACTCATAAAAAATTTGTAAACCCCCTTAATTCTTATTTGGCTCCCACTAAAATTTTAATATATTTTTCTCTTTTTTTTTTCATCACACATTCTCCAATAAAATAATATTATACGTAAATCAATTTTTTTTTAACAACACATTCTTCCAAAATTTACTATTTTAAAATACATTATCTCCAAAAATTTCATTATAAGGGGCCAAACAAGTGCATATTGCGTGGAGGTCTGTACACCCAAGGTACATATAGCAAAACCAATGTCTTTTGTCTGCATTTGAAAATTAGGAATTTAACCAGTCAAACTTTTAATCCCCGTTTGACTCTCTTTAATGGAAAATTTTGTCTTTTGTTAAAATAAGTTTTTTGGAAAAAAATAAGTCACCCTTTTTAAATTAAAACTATTTATTTCTCATACTTATTTTTAAATATATATTTATACAATAAAATAATATGCACTTAAAACAAAAAAAATCATGTTTTTTTACCACGAATAATGCTACTCAAACAGCGTTTAGAAATAAGGGGTGAGTACCTTTTTTTTTTAAACTGTCAAATGATGTTTCATCACGTGACCCCCTATTTTTAAACATTTTCGTTGAGTTTGTTTGTGTAGTATGATTTTTAGACCACGCATTCTTAAGAATCATTATTCAAAACCATCATTTCCCCTCAATTTCTCTTTACAATGACCATCAAATAAGGACTAAATTTTGGAATAGTGATTTTTTTATAGAACGCGTGGTTAAAAAGTGGGAAAAATGGATTTATGTGCAAAATATCGTATTGTTTGAATGTGTAGTTAAAAGTAAGTTTTAGAAAAAAGAGTTTCGATTTAATGGAAGACAAACATGAGCTTAATGTAATTTGTTTAAATTATAATATGTAATAATTGTAGATCTTACGAAACTTATAATTAAAATTAAAGTTTGATATTAATATTTAAATTATGAATAGATTATAATTGAAGACAAACAAGCTCTTCCGTCTCCAACACAAGTTTGGTCACTAATTTTACAGACGGACTAATAGAAGGGGTCGATTGTAAACAAATTTCAAATGATATCGGGAGTCCATTTGATAGGACAGACTTCTATTTTTTTCTTTTTGTTGAAGAGTTTGTTGAGAAAGTCACGTTAGGCTAACTTTATATAAAAGATTTTCTAATAATACAAAAAATTTCCAAAAAATTGTTCAAACAAATCTAAATATAACTTTTTAGTCTCAAAAATAATTTTGAACTTTTCAAAAACCTTGTCAAATCAGCTATGATTAATTAAGAACAAATTAAAATCCAGTGACAAGTTGAAATGTGTGTGAAAGTTTCATGGTATCCATAATTTTTCAACTACATATTTCATCATTTTTTATCAAAATATATTAAAAATCTTATTTTAATCTCCACCAAAGAATAACTAAGGGTCTGTTTGATTCAACATATTTTCCATGGTACTTTCCAAATTCCAACTTTTTTGGTGTTTGATAACAAAAATTTTCTTGGCAAAATATTTTCCACCCAACCCCCCACGTGACCCATTTTCCATCTTTTGGTTGAATTGGTTTTCCCACCATTTTGGTGGGAAATCTGATTTCCACCTTTTTTT